ACACTCTTATACATAAATAAAATAAGAATGTAAAAGTTCTTACAGAGTCAAGTGTCGTAAGCGCAGTGTAACCCCAATACTCAAGAGGCTGAGACAAGAGGATTGTGTGTTCAAGGCCACCCTGGGCTACACAGACAGACTCTAAACACACACACACACACACACACACACACACACACACACAATTCTAACAGATGAGTCAAATTCATTCAAATGCAATTTAAATTCTTGCCTATGTTCCCCTGAACATAATAAGCCAGCACCCTTGGGGCTGGGGAAACGATTCCGAAGGGAAGGGCTCTTGCTAAGCAAGCTGAATGTCCTGAAATTGATTCCTGGACCCTACATAAAGGTGGAAGGAGCCAGGCAGTGGTGGCACACGCCTTTAATCCCAGCGCTTGGGAGGCAGAGCCAGGCGGATCTCTGTGAGTTTGAAGCCAGCCTGGTCTACAGAGCAAGATCCAGGACAGCCAAGGCTACACAGAGAAACCTGGTCTCCAAAAGCAAACAAACAAAAAAGCAGAAGGAACTACTTGGCTCCACAAGTTGCCCTCTGACCTTCACACATGCATCATGACGTCTGTGACTATCCACAACACACACACACACACACACACACACACACACACACACACACACACACAAGTTTCTGATAATAAATTAATAAACAAACTCCGAGGAGGAGATCAGGAATGTGGAGAGGCCAGGGCAGCAGCCCAGGGACACACCTGAACACATCTTCATCTCCTCCTGCTTCCTTCCTGGATCCCTCTAAGCCCAGTGCTTAAAATGCCATTAGTCAGTCTGGGGAAATGGCGCAACAAGACAGAAATTGGTGGAGGCAGGACAAGGAGAGTGATGTCAGTCTGGAGAGAGAGCGGCGTGAAGGGAGGTCGGCTGGAGAAATGAAAGAAGCGAGATGAGAGGCCGGAGGAGAGAATGGGTACAGGGGGCTTCGGGTCCTCTGGAGAACAGACATGGGTTAGATTTTACTCAACTGTGGCTTTGTAGATCTTTCAAAGATGAATGAGACAAGAAACCTTGGCCATTAGCCCCTGGAGGAGGGTCAGCTCTAGGAAGAACCTCCCAAATGCCTGGCCCAGGTAATGGTCAGTTGGGCTTCCTTCCCAGAGCTGATTAAGGGATAAGAGTCTGCACACCACTCCCCCACCACCTGCTATACACGAGAGTTCAGACACCTTACCAGTGCAGTGATCCAAAGAGACAGAGGCAGAGGCCAACATCTGGGGGGTCGGGGAGGCAGGTTTATACACCACATTTCTGTACTTGTGTGGTCACACGACAGAAACCAGACGACCAATGGCCACCATCCCACACACCGAAGCCCCCAACCACACCTCTCCGGAGGGAGATGGGCACCTGACGACAAGCAGTGATTAGAGCTGTATTAGTGGCTGATAGTTGTACCAGAAAGGCATGACGTGGATGGGAAGGGATGGAAGCGAAGGGATGCGGGATGGGGACCAGAGAAACAGGCAAAGTGTTGCTGTGCTCTGTGACGTAGGGAAGAGTGATGTGAGAACATCGGCCTGTTGAAGGAGGTTTTGAGGAAGTAAAGTAACAAAGGGTTTGTTTGTTTGTTTTAATTTATTTTTTGTTTGCTTGTTTTTTGTTTGTTTTTGTTGTTTTGTTTTTCTTTTTTTGTTTTCTTTTCAAGACAGGATTTCTCTTTGTAACTACAGCCTGGCTGTCCTGGAATTCACTCTGTAGACCCACACTGGCCTCGAATTCACAGAGATCTGCTTGCCTCTGCCTCCCAAGTGCTGGGGTTAAAGGAGTGCGCCACCACCGCCCCACTGAATAATAAAGTGTTTAAGAAGTTTTTCAGAGCTTGGGATTATCTCCTCATCCCCACCAGCAAACTGATTCTTCATAGAGCCTTGCTGTAAATTGAGTCATTTGTATTCTAGAAACCTGCCATGCATGTAGAGTCCTCTTTTAAATTATTTCCAAGCAGCAGCCGGGCGGTGGTGGCGCACACCTTTAATCCCAGCACTCGGGAGGCAGAGGCAGGCGGATCTCTGTGAGTTCGAGGCCAGCCTGAGCTACCAAGTGAGTCCCAGGAAAGGCACAAAGCTACACAGAGAAACCCTGTCTCGAAAAATCAAAAACAAAACAAATTATTTCCAAGCAGCGACTAAAGATAAAGACAGAACAAGGGACTCGCGGGTAGACAGTTGAATGCCCCCAGCATGAGTCCTGGGCTTCCCACCGCGGCTCTGCTGTGATCCACCTCTGTGTATGGGTTTGCATGTATTCAGTATTCCTCGAGAAGCAGAGATACGGCGTGCTGAGCCACTGAAGGCCATTCCAGCTCGCTCTAGACATTTGTGTGTACAGGTACTAAGGTATACCTGCATAGTCGACACCAGTGGAGAGAGGCGGGGAGCAGCAGGCTGATGCAGAGAAGGATGAAGGGCGGATCCCCAGCTGCCCTGCTGTCTGTAGTTCCTGAACATACAGGATTTCTTATCATTTATCACGTCCACAGGCCTCAGATGAATCACACACGCTTCCTGAAGGACCATGATGACACCAGAGCAGAGATCTACCCCTTACCACCCATACACACATGCAAGCACACTCACGGGTGTGCATGTACACATACAACCAACTTCCACCGCCTCCCTTGCTCCCCAAAGTGTCCACAAGCCAAGTTTTAGCTGCCATTCTTTCTCTCTCGACCCCAGCTATCCACACCTACACTGGCACCTGCCTGGCAGCTCCCTACCCACCCCCTCATCTCTTAAGAGGCCAGGGCCCAGGGCCTAAGGCGGGGCACACTTGGAACAGGTTGATGCTGTTCTCCTGGAAGTGGAACAAAAGGGGTGGGGCCATTGAGACAGGCAGGGTCTGTGGAAGCCTGCATCCCGCCTCCACACTGTGGAGGCATAAAGTGGCCTGTCCCGGGAAGGGACGGTCATTCTGTCAACAGACAGACAGACAGAGCAAGCTCTGGGCCCTCACCCCACCCCCAGCTGCCAGACAGGACCCAGCATCACTCCTGCCCTGGTAAGAACAATGACAGCAGAGGAGACGGGGCCATTCTGGGTGTCTAGGGGAAAGGTTGGGACCAAAAAGGTGTGGGATTTCCTAGCTTTTATTGTGGCCGTAAAAATTCCCCCTGGATATCACTGGGAGTAGGTGTCATGACAGACTTGAGAGAGGTAGCCCTTTGAGTGCCTCTCTGGTGAAGAGCAAGTCCCAGGTACGCTCATCTGGTCCCTGGGGGGCTCTCCTATGTCATCCAAGCCCTTCTGGGAATGAGGGCTGAGAAGCACAATGGAGATGGCAGGATGGCCCCACACATCTGTGTGTGCACCTCCTGTTTCCCTACCTCCGGCAAGTACCACACATGGGTGAGGCCCAGCCCGGCGGTGGAGGCACACACCTTTAATCCCAGCACTTGGGAGGCAGAGGCAGGTGGATCTCTTTGAGTTTGAGGTCAGCGTGGTCTATAGAGAGTTCCAGGAGAGCCGGGGCTACACAGGGAAACTCTGTCTCAAGAAAA